TATTTCTGATCTGCTAACCTTTGTTTTCATTGAAATGATTGTTTTTATGATATGATTTAAAATAAAAACACAAGGTTTCTAAGAAATAGCAAAATGGAACTATTTATCTTTGACATGTTTAGATTACTCTGTTTCTGTAATTTCCATTATTCTCCCAGGCAGCTAAACTAGAAAGTCTTTAGTGCTGGCCACTATCTGCCCTTCTGCAGCATTCATTCGATTGCCAGGTACCGGCCATACTCACCCCTGCCTCCCACCTCGCTCACTCAGGGCTGGAGTATCACAGCCTCCTCTTGGTCTTCCTGCCTTCAGTGTCTCTTGGCTCTGCCCACTTGCCAACCCTACTCCCGTTGTAGTCATCCTAAACTTTCATTCATTCATTCGTGCACGCATGCATTCATTCAAATAATGCATTGTTATAGAGTGACTATGACATGGCAGATACTATTCCAAGCACTGAGGATATGACAGTGAATAAGACAAAAAAGCTCCTTGCCCTCATGGAACTTATAACCAAAAGATGGAGAGAGATAACAGTCAGGTGAACAAAGAAGTTAATTTCAAAAGTGAGAAATATTCTGAACAAAAACAAATACACCCACACAGAAACATCTAGAGCAACTGAGGGTGGGCCCTGCTCTACTTGAGTTCAGGAGAAGCGTCCTTACATTTGAACCAACCTTTGAATGACAGGGAAGTTGCGGGGTGGGGGAGCCTATCTTGTGAAGACTGGGGGAAAGCATTCCAGACAAGGGGAATTATAAATGCAAAGGCCCGAGGCAGGAACAAACCTAGTGGGTTCTAGAAACAGAAAGAAGGCCCCTGTGGCCTGAGGGAAATAAGCAAGGCTGCAGCCAAATTAATCTTCTGTCTTGTACGTATCTTCCCTCTCTAGCTACGAAGTATGGCTCAACCCCTTCTGCTCTTCCAACCTTTTATTATCTAGACGCAGACTGCCTCACTGTCTTATGCTGGGTAAACACATTTCTGTCCTATTTTCCAAAAACAGTTGCAATCTTTCCTAGAACTGTCACCATGGCTTTTTACATTTCTTTTCACCCACTGCCAGGCACTTGATGAAGGTAAGGTGTCATTAAAATCCTATTAGGTGCTCAGAATTCACAGACAGCAAAGTTTATAAAAGAAGTAAGACACAATCGCTGTTCTTGGGGAGCTTACCATCTAAGTGAGGGACAAGGAAGAACTAACACTTATGGAAAAGTTAAAGAGTAAGTACAGGATACATTTTAAATAAAATTTAAAGAAGGGTAAGATTATCAAGTACTGGAGTAGTCAGAGGAGGCTTCATGGCGGAGGTGGACTTTTAACTGCTTTCAACAAATGACGATCAGCAAAGCAGAGAAAAGGTTTTCTGAGAGGATAGAACAGTGTTTGCGGGCCGGCCTGGTGGCGCACTGGAGAGTGTGCCGCTTGGGAGTGTGGCGGCGCTCCCGCCGAGGGTTTGGATCCCATGTGGAGACCGGTTCCCGCTCACTGGCTGAGCGTGGTGTGGGCGCGACACCAAGGGTTGCAATCCCGTTACCAGTCAGTAAAAAAGACAAAAAGGAAAAAAACAAAAAACAGTGTTTGCAAAAATGCAAGGGTGGGAATACCTGAGGTGAGTATGAAGTACCTTGGGGAGGTGTGTTGGGAAGGGGCTAGAAACATAAGGAGTGTAGAAATCAGAAAAGATAGGGTCATATTCCAGAAGATCTCAAAATCCAGGCCAAGGGAATCAGACCTGATGGCAGAAGGGAGCTGAAAAGATTATGAGAGAACTCTATCCCCCCAGATCTCTTTGATGTGGAGACACCTACATTGCCCTTGAGGTGTATTGCTTGGATCCTACAGCACATGGGTCATGAGCAACCATCCCTTTTTTCACACAGAATCCCGATGAAACTGGCCAGTCCGTGTACCCGCTGGGAGGCTCTCCTCTTATGTCTTGATGAGGCCAGCTCAGGCTTGAGTAGCCTTGCCCAGCCTCAGGAATCACAAATGTTCCCCCACCCCCACCCGTGAGCTCATTGGTGAGGGCCGATTGGGCCAAAGAATAGGTCATGCATTCTCTGCCCATCCCGTGATGGGCCTAGTAGTTGTTGGGACTGCAATTGCAATGGTTAGATCTGGGGTTGGGTCTTGGGGACAGAGAAGGAGCCCAAGTGCACTTTGTTTAATCACCCAGCCCACTATCATAACACAATTACTGCCTGGACATTTCTTTGTCCAGCAGCCTTTATTCCTTGTTCTCTGGGAACCGTTGGCTCTAGATAGACCTGGAGCTAAGCCACTGTAGTAATAGACACACAGGGCAAGCCAAGGGTGTACTCAAAAGCAGAGAAAAGTAGCTGCCAGTTGTCTGACCCCTTCTTGGAACATCAGTAGGTAGAAACCAACTGTGTTGGAGAGAAAAGAGAAGGGCTAGATTCCAGGAAGGCAGGAGGAAGGAGCATTGCTCACTCTTGTTGGAAAGCGGGGGTGGCAAATGGCATGTGGGAGCAGCCAATAGATTTGCAGCAAGATATGGGGCTGAGCCATGGTTCTGTTAATCTCTAGCTGTGTGGCTTTTGGCAGGTTATTTAAATTCTCCGAGCCTCAGTTTACTCATCTGTAAAATGGGCTCTTCACTCTCTTACCTATTCAATAGGGTTGGGATTATATAATGAAAAAATGGACTTGAAAATGCTCTGTAAATTGTAAAGGTGTTTTTAAACATAAGCAAGTATTACTAATGCTAGAGTTCTGGATCCTAGCATAGCCAAGGCTGATGAAAATCCTTGAAACAGTTTTCTGCAACTTGCCTTTTGGTACATGCACCAGGAAGGACTGTTGCACAGCTCATGGCATTAACCCTGGGAATGAAGCTGAAGTGAGGTCAGAGAGAGCCAGGATGAAATAACTGTCTGATGGGTAGTCACAGATTACCCTGAAGATTAGTTTTAATGTGGAGGGTTGGATCCAGTAAAATAGAAAGTAGTAGAGGATTTGCAAATGCAGTATTTGCCAATAACAGGTAAGGGAAAATTACTGTGTATATAGAATAGATCTAAAAGAATACATTTGAGATACTAACAGTTTCTTGTATATTAATAACATTATTGTTTATATGTAGGGACTCATTGAAGCTTCATAGTATCCAGGTGATATTTCCATTTTACGGATGAGGAAATTCAAGTAAAATGACTCAAATTGACAAAGCAAATTTGTGGTAAAGCTGGGATTCGATTCTTGCTCTTCTGTGTCCTGGATTGATGTTGTCTTCTCCACACTTGTTGAAAACACACTCTGAGTTTGAAACATCATTAATACTTAGGAAGTTACTACCAGGATAAGAAGAACTAGAATTCAACAGTGAAAATTCATATAATGAGCAAATATGGATATAGAAATTTTCTTTGACAGAGTGATCAGCTGAACACTGGGCAGGGGTGGGGGTAGAGAGAGAGCAAGTGAACCATTGAGAACCAAAGTTCTGAACTTTCAGATCTTGTTGCAAATCAGAGCCAGTTTGATGCCCATGTGACATCAGAAGCACCATGGTCTTTACAGAAGTGTTGCTAGTACCCTCCAGATGCTTCTGCTCATGAGAGATTAGCTAGAGTGCCAGGGGTGTCTGCTGGTGGCCATCATAGCAGCCAGCTGGGGGTTCAGAGGATGGACTCAGCCAGGCTTACCTCATCCATCTTCTTTCTGGGAGCTAGAGAGTGGGAGTCTCACTCCAGTGAACTCTGCCAATGACACTTAGCCACTCAGTGGGTTTGGCTGCCTGTGTTGTGGGGAAGGGACAGAAGTAGCAGAAATACAATCAGAAAAAAAAAAAAAAAAAAGAATGAACTTCTCTTCAAACCAAAATCCCAAGAAAGATGGCCTCCAACGGGTTGGTTGCAAAGGAAAGAGAATTGGTTTGGCTTTGCCTCAGGCCCTGGCCACATTTTCTCTCCACTCTACCTAGGATAAGTGGAGGACTCATGAGATTGTGTTTACTTCCAGTGCTGATTAGTCGTTCCCTCCCGCTGCATTTCCCATATTTCCCCTTCTCCAACTTCCACCCCTGCCAGATGCAGAAAGTCTTCCAGGAAACCAGAGCTCTCTGCAGAAGCGTGTGCACTCTCTCTGGGAAGGACACAATCAGCTATCATACCATACAGATGACTCACATCCCCCAGAAAGTGCTCTCTCTTCGTTCCTGGACCACTGTGGTAACAGCACCGTGGGTTTTTTTTTTGGAAAGAATAAAAGCAGTATCTTTTACTGTCTGATGCTTTGTGGTTAAAAAAAATACATTCATGCATATTCTCAATTGATTTTTACATCAAGTCTGTGAGGCAGGGTTAAATGTTTTCTGTCAAGGGTCCTCTAGTATATGACTTTGAGGAAGTCCCTCATTTCTCATTGGCTTCCATTTTTCCACTTCAAAAATGAGATCAATGGCCACATGCTTTTCCTCCACCTTTGCCTGCAAAACAATATGCTTTCAAATGTGGAATGAAGAAAAAACTTTGCCCACTGCTTTCATTGGAAAGGGCAAATTCCCCCAACAACTCTTTGGAATTAGCAGGCCTTTAGAGCTCTAAACTGGGAAGTAATTAACATGAATGGCCTAAGAACAGGAAGGACCTGGGAAGAGCCTCAGCCTAGAAACTGATGGGAGGTATTATTACTACATTTAATAATAACTGTTACAATTTTTTGAGTGTTTGCTAGGTTTAAAACTGTGTCAGGATTAGTGCATACATTATCACATTTTATCTTTAACAACAAAAACGTTTGCAGATAAGGAAACAGGTTGGAGAGACTCAACAAAACTTGCCAGAGGTTGCACAGCTAGTCGTAGGCGGAGCTGGGTCGAGTCAGCCTTGGGCGGGAAGCCCACCTCCCGCTGGGCTTTTCCTCCACACGTACCGTTCCATTGCTCCTCCGAATGCTGCAAAAATGGAACGATGCCTCCTGACTGTGGCTGTCTCTGTGTGTGTTCCTGCCGCAGGTATCTGGCCATCGTCCACCCTCTGAGGCCGCGGATGAAGTGTCACACGGCCACCGGCCTGATCGCCTTGGTGTGGACGGTGTCCATTCTGATCGCCATTCCTTCCGCCTACTTCACAACCGAAACGGTGCTCGTCACCGTCCAGAGCCACGAGAAGATCTTCTGCGGCCAGATCTGGCCCGTGGACCAGCAGCTCTACTACAAGTCCTACTTCCTCTTCATCTTCGGCCTGGAGTTCGTGGGCCCCGTGGTCGCCATGGCCCTGTGCTACGCTCGGATCTCCCGGGAGCTCTGGTTCAAGGCGGTGCCCGGGGTGCAGACGGAGCAGGTGCGCCGGCGGCTGCGCGGCCGCCGCAGGACGGTGCTGCTGCTCGTGGGCATCCTCACGGCCTACGTGCTGTGCTGGGCGCCCTTCTACGGCTTCACCCTCGTGCGCGACTTCTTCCCCGCCGTGTTCGTCAAGGAGAAGCACTACCTGACCGCCTTCTACGTGGTCGAGTGCATCGCCATGAGCAACAGCATGATCAACACCCTGTGCTTCGTGACGGTCAAGAACAACACGGTCAAGTACTTCAGGAAGGTCATGCTGCTCCACTGGAAGGCGTCTTACAACGGGAGTAAGTCCAGCGCAGACCTGGATCTCAAAACGACGGGCATGCCCGCCACCGAAGAGGTGGACTGCATCAGATTAAAGTGACCTCAGGACCCTGCGAAGTTTCAACACAGGACAGGATCTCTGGGGCACCGACCTGTGTGCTGAGGACTCTCGATTTGCTGCAGAGGGCAGAGTAAATGGGCAGCTACGTGAACAGCGTTCAAGGAGCTCAGAATTTCTACAACTGATGTGACCAGACACTATTGCCAGTGGCTCACATTCATTGAATGTCTAATTTGTGCAAAGTGTAGGTGGTGGTGAAACCTATATATGTTGAGGACATTTAGTTGGGAAAATGAGATAGAAATTAAACCAAGGAAAATGTTGTGGTGTAGACAGTCTGGAATAAGGAGGTTTCCAGAAGGGAACCAGAGTAGGTATCTAGGACTGCAGTATGTGTGCTCATGAGTGAGGGTGTCTCTGGACCATCTTAGCTACTCATCAGACACTGGTCTAGCCCATCTCTGGGAATGTTTTTAGGCTTGAGTTCCCTCCTAATTTTTGCAAGGCTGGGGCAAGAATGCAAAAAAGACTCCTGGCTCTGTCTGCAGCCCTCTCTTCTCATCCCTGGTTCTAGCCCTCACTGTGAGGAGCCTTGCATGCATGCATGTGGACACCCCAGTAATCATGGCCAAGTTCTGTGCAAACTCTTCCCCACACTGCCTTGTGGCTCTACCCCTCAGGTAGGGCTCTGCACATACATGTGAGGCTCATGATCAGGAGCATGGACTTGGGGAAGAAGCCATACAGACCATGGATGCCATTTGGAATTATGGGGTTCTGCATACTGACAGCAAGTCTAGAGGGGGAAGCCTGAGCTCAGAATGGGCACGTCTCCTTGGCTGTATGGACTTTTCACCCCAGAGGGAAGGAGGTGCAGTTGGAAGAGAGTCAAAACAGGACCTCTGAAAGCATGTGGGACTCAGGGCAGGGGCTCGGGTTCTCCAGGTATAAGGGTGATGATGCTCCTGCCTCAGTTATTCTGGCTTGGACCAGTTAGACTTCACCTAAGTCCTTCCATTCTTTCTCATGTCTCCATGCTTGTGAAGCATGGAGTCTTTGAAAGTAGACCCAACACCTATGGATGTGGCCACTGGTCATTTTTTCATTCCCACCAGCTCTCGAAGGTGCGTGAACAAGAGCATCTTCTTAACCAGCCAGCTGATAAGGTACCATCACTGCTACTGTTTGAGGGCAAGATGTTTTTGTCATGGGTGCCTGAATCCCATCCTAGTCATCATTCTTTTGGAGTAGGACTCATTTCTCTTTTAAAATGGAAGTACTCTTAGGAGGCATAAGCCATCACATTTCTGCTGCTCAGTGTGAATGAAGTCATGCAATCCAGTAGCAGGGGATGCAGGTCAGTGGTAGAACTCTGGGCACCCAGGAAAGAAGTGGACACACAAATGGGTGGTGGTGGACCTAAGAGTGAGCTTCAGTGACCCCACAGACTCTTGAAGGCTCATCCCACTTTTTAATCCACCTCCTCTGTTAGGCATTTGGAATTTTGGAACCAAAAGATCTGAGATAAAGCCTTGGCTCTGTCAACAATGTGGCTCTGGGAAAAAAACTTCTCTGAGGGGACACAGTATACCTGTGACACCTAGTGTCAGAGTGGTTGTGAGGAACCAATGAGATAATACGTGGGAAATGCTTTCAAACATGCATATTCCAAGAATGGACTAGTAACTGTATGCAGTATGCTTGGACAAGGAAAAACCTGCTACCTTGGCTCATGTATCTAGAAACCTCGTCAGCTCCCCCTTTCATTATTCTTTGTGTGCATCATTCCTTTACCCTTCTTAGCAGTGCTATATGCATTATGTTTCTAATAACATGTTGGTACAAACAAGGCCATGAGATTTGGTGGCAGAGGCATAAAGGACATGGTAGATAGCTGTCCAGTCAGGCGATGAGTTCAGGGGTTTGGAAACTCCAGAATCAGAGCATCTTTGTGATCATGGAAATATTGATCGTCTTCCCTTGCCTGTTCCCAGTCACCGCAAATCTAGGCCACGTGGTGGTTGCCTCTCAATTGGCTTCTATTCTCATGAGCGTGTAGAGCCACAGAGTGGACTAGTCTCTTTTTTCTTATTTAGGTCTAGAGCAGCACATTTAGAAGCCTATTTAAGTGACATCTGTGTGGTGTTTCCCTCTCCAAATAAAGTCAGCTCTTTATTTTGGGCAACAAAGTTTATTTATTTCTTTTTATTACTTTTTTCTTATTGAGACATAATTGATTATATGTATTTGTAAGGTACAGAGTTGACTATCAGTACTTATGTATAATAGGTGATGATCAAGTCAGGATAAGTATATTTATATTCATCATTACAATATGTAATCATTTTTTGTGTCCATTAACCTTTTTGTAGTTATTTTATTTTCCTGGAAGACATTTCAAAAATCCCTTTTTTTCTTTCCATTCGTCACACAACATAGTTTAGCCGCAATGCTCTCAGAGGGTAAAAACTTATTAAAATATTAGTATGCATTGAAATGCAATTCTTATTATTTTTTCATAAAATCATATATTGCATTCTAAAATCAGGCAAGTAAGTTTTTGGATTAAAAAACAATAAAATGATACAATTTATTGTCAGAGTGGACTGTATTAAATAGGAGCTTTTTATATAAGACAACCAAACCGTTTTCTGCTTTTTAGCCTAAAATATACAAATTTTTCACTTTAACTATCTGTAATATTTCTAGATATTAGTGTCTGCTTGTGATTTTCTAGTGAATGAAAGTATTGTGTTGTTATCAAATAAAGTAAAAATATGTGTGTGTGTATATATATATATATATATATATAAAATAATTGACCATAGTATTCCTGGAATTTCTAGCCCTCATCCCCATCTTTTTCCTAGCTATTGTGTGATCGTTCTTTGGGTGAACACTGAATAGATTCCATGCTCATAGGAATTGTGAGAACACTGTTAACTCATGCTCTTATGGCCTGCAAAATTCCCTCTCCATCCTAAAGAGATTTAACTGATTTATATATTCTCTTCTTATAAGCCTGCTCTGGTAAAGCCATTAATACTTTTTAGCATCTGAGTGCCAAGACTTGAAATCTGAGGACCTGTTTATGCCTATTACATAAGCTAAAGCTAAATCTTTGAATAAGCTTAATATCCACACATGCAAAGTGAACAAGAGGTGCCATGTTCGGATTCACTGATCTGGCTGCCCAGCTGATGGCTTCTCCAAAAACTGGTGTTGAGCCCAACAAGGTGACACTTGTACTTGTGTGTTTTTTTCCGTGCTCTAAATATTTTCAATATGCAGAGAATATGCACAGTGTCTTATACAGAAGGATAAAAACATGATTTTGTAATATTAAACCATTTCCATAACTAAAGTAAAAGAGAAGGGCAGATTTACAGTAAAGCTTTTGAGACTTTGCCTACTGAGTACGCATTTTTAAAATAACTTCTTAAAGACACTAAAACAAGGCAAAGTGGTGATCACCACGGTAAGCCCTGAATCGTGAAACAAGATCCATGCTCATTCTGGAAAAGAGTGCTAAAGAATTTGTGAGAAGACCAGAAAATAATAAATGAATCCTGTTTCTTGAAGAATATGACAAATTTTGGAATGTGTAAAGACACTAAAACAAGGCAAAGTGGTGATCACCACGGTAAGCCCTGAATCGTGAAACAAGTTCCATGCTCATTCTGGAAAAGAGTGCTAAAGAATTTGTGAGAAGACCAGAAAATAATAAATGAGTACTGTTTCTTGAAGAATATGACAAATTTTGGAATGTATCCACAAAGAATGAGTTCAATTCTCCTTCCTGGAGTGTGAGAATATCAAATTTAAACCATTCATTTTACGGTTGATGAAACTCAAGTCCAGAATGGGAAGAACTATGTTCAAGGTCACACAGCTGGTCACTGCGAGAGCCAGGGTTAGACCCCAACACTCCCGAAGCTGAGCCCAGGGTTCTTCTGCCACAGCGGGGTAGAATTCCTGGGTGCAGGGGGTACTAAAATCTTGGAAAGGGGAGGATCCTTTCCAAGAATCCTTGAGGTGACTGTTCAACCCTCTCGTCTGGTCTTCTCTGGAGACCCTTGAAGAATTTAGCAGAGACATTCCTGGTTTCTTTGAAAGCCAAGTTTAGCTCATCCTACCCTTGGGAACTCATAGCAGAGACATGGAGGCCAGGAGGTTTTAGGGAAGAACTGCTAAAAAACGTTTCCAGATGCTGTTTCTTTACCTTACCTCTTTAGGCATTCCTAGAAATGTAAAAGGAGAGATGCAAGGCCCCTGTCCGTGAGAACAGCTGCCCTGCCTTAGGAATGCAGACGAGAGATTTAGAAGCCATACGTGGTTGAACGTCCAGGCTCTGGGTGCTCAGAGTTCAGTGGCATCAGGGGGCCACCTCCTCCCTCTGCCAGTGGGGACGAGAGGGGTAGGGGAGGCTATTTGGATGGGGCAGGACTTGAACTGTACAAGTAGGGTGTAGAGAAGCTAAAGGGCAAGCATTCCACACGGGAAGAGACTAATTTCTTTTATCTGCTCCTGGAACCTGAAATTGCTTTTTTACTGGAGGGAAGGACTTCTCACACAACGCTGGGATTGTCTCCCCTGGGAGAGGTAACTGAAAAACTGAAAGACATGCAGAGACATAAGTAAGGAATATCAGAACCTTATGAGAAAGTGGGTTTTGATAGGAGTGAGGGGGTGGAGAGGAGAGAGAGAAACTGGCCTTAGGAAGCAGGTCTGTTTGACCAAGTGAGGAAGGCACTCAGGAAAAAAATAAGAGAAAGAATGGGGAGGAGGAAGCTGAAAACAAGTTTGGCTGACTAATACCAACGGCAAGGGGCGTCCACGTGGGGGCCGAGCTGAGTGTGTTGCAGAATTATCTTGTTCAGTCCTCATACAGTCAGGGGTGAGTATCTCTCCTATTTCACAGATGAGGAAACTGAGTCTCAACTCAGAGAGGTTGCTCAAGGTCACAGAAGTAGCGAATGGTGCTCTGAGATCTGAAGCCAAACAGTTCGACTCCAGAGCGCATGCTTTTAATCACTCTG